ATGAGCAGGGAGCCCGAAGCAGGACTTGATCCCAGGACCCTGGGATCATGGCCTGAGCCAAAGGCAGATGCCCAACCGACTAAGCCACCCAGGTGCCCAAGCTCCTACCTTTATGAGAGGTACACAAAAGGAATGTATTGCAGTTTCTTGACGGTATCCCCCTCTTTGGCCTCTGTTCGGCTTTGATAATTTGCTAGAATGCCTCACGGAACTCAGGAAAGCACATGACTTACTAGATTACCAGTTTATTATAAGAGGATACAACTCAAACAGCCAGATGGGAGAGATGCAAAGAACAAGGTATGCGGGAAGGGGTGTGCACCTCCATGTGTTCATCACCCTGGAAGCTCTCAGTTAGGGTTTTTTACATGAGGCTTCATTACAAAGGCCATTAATGATTAACAACCTCCAGCCCCTTTCCCCCTCCTTGGAGGTGTGGGGGTGGGACTGAAAGTCCCAGCTTTAATGACACAATTGGGTCCCCCTGGCAATCAGTCCTCCATTCTCAAGGGCTTTCCAAAAGCCACTTTATTAACAAACCCAGGTATGACTGAAAGGGGCTTGTTATGAACACAATTTTTTAAAGATTTTATTCATTTGTCAGAAAAAGAACAAGCAGGGAGAGTGGCAGGGAGAGGGAGAGGGAGAAGCAGGCTCCCTGCTGAGCAGGGAGCGAGCACGACATAGGGCTTGATCCCAGGACCCTGGGATCATGACCTGAGCCCAAGGCAGACGCTTAACCAACTGAGCCACCCAGGCACCCCAGAAAATATTCTTTTGACCTTCATTACTTTAGGGCTCTTACAGGAGCTTGGGACAAAAACCAACCAGGAATGAAGACCAAATACATATACATCATAATATCACACAGATGCACCCTGAGGAATAAGCAAAGCAACCGAAGACTATCTTTGGATTCGGAACTGAAATACCTATTTGCTTGCTAGTGTTTTTTGCTTCTTCACCCGGAACAAAAACCTGGCTTCCAAGCAGTGGTTCTCAGTCCTGATTGGGCTTTAGTGATGGGGTTTTGGAATATAGGTGAAGTCAGGTGGGGTGAGGTTTGGAGCCCAGGGCCAAGAAAGAATTCTTGAGATGTCTCTGGTGCAAAAAGGTGGTTTTATCTAAGCACGAGGACAGGACCCGTGGGCAGAAGGAGCTGCACCGGGGTTGTGAGGTGTGGCTGATTATATAGCTGAGAGTTGGGGAAGGTAAGGAAAAGGGAGATTTCAAAAGGATTTTTGTCTGTTAAAGAAGACTCACAGGATACTGGAGGTCTTGCCATTGCCAAGTGAAGTTTGGTTTTCCTTCTAGTAAAGCATTAACAGTAAGATAATTGGGAGCTTCCTGAAGGAACATTACACTTTGCCCACTCCAAGTATCTGTCAATAGGCTGCTGGTCATAAGGGCATTTAATTGTATCTACATTTCCTTCCGGAAGTTAGGCCATTGATAGAAATTCACAAGAACAAAGCATTTCTAAGACTTTTGTAAACTGAGGGAGACTCATGTTTTGCAGGACTTTAATCTCTATAAATTAACTGTTTTTCCTTCAGGGCAGCCAGGAGTGCCTGAGGAATGTCACATATATCCCATGGGGTGGGGGGGATTGTGGGGTGTCAGCTCCTGCCTGTCCTCAGCTGGTCTTCTGCTCCCTCATTAGAATCCCCGGAAAAGCTTCTTAAAACAGACTGCAGGGCCCTGCTCCCAGAGTTTGATTCAGTGAACCTGGGTGGAGCCCCAAATCTGCATCAACAAGTTTTAGGTGATGGTACTGTCAGATATCTGCTATTTCATTAAAGTTTAAGCTTTAAAAAGTTAGCACGATGTTTAAAATTGTCTAAGTATTCCAACTGGTAGATCTACAGGACTGAGAAACACTCTGATTCCCTAAGTAAACAGCTTGCTGTCAAACACATAATTTGTTGGTCAAGCTGATAGTTTTCCTCAGGGTAGTTAAGACTTCGAAGGGTTCTTGGAGATCGTTCTAGGTTACCCTCCTTGTTTTGCCAAGGGGACCTTCTCAAGTGCCGTTTGACAGCTCCCAGACATGCAGCATCCACTTACCCTTGATGTGGAGGGCTCCAGCGTTATACTTTGCCTTAATTCCAGAGACTCTAGTGAGGTAAAATTGGAAGGGGTTCCCTTTTTCCAACATATCCCAAATATCTTGGCCTTCCCCTGAGGTCTCATACTCCTCTTCCTCCTCTTTTAGTCCATGGTGGGCAGGAGAGCCATTATTTCCAGTTCTTTGGGTGACACTGTCTTTGGGAAAAGAGATGCCGCTCTCTTCTTTGACCACCATGTTCTTAGCCTGCTTCTGCTGTGTTCCTGGTTGCAGTTCATCATCACTGCTAGAGAGACACCAACCCAGGTCTTCCTGGGAACCACTCTTCTGCTTTTTGGGAGGTGAAGCTTGTGAATCTGTGCTGAATTTTACAGGTGATAATTTCCTTTTATGGGCAGCTTTCCTAGCCTCAGAACAGGTGTATCTTGGTTCATTTGCTGCTCCCTGCCCAGCATGAGGGAGGGAAGAGGTAGATGGCTTGTCTAGTTTTGGCTTTTCCTCCTCACTTTCATCACTACTGGATATTGTCCACTTCCCATAATCACCTTCCTGAGACATAGTTCTGGAAATGAAAGACAAATATTGTTATTTCCATTCACTAGGAAACTGGCAAACTGTTGCTCTCAAATTCCCTCAGTATGAGTTTCTGCAACACACACAGCACACCTGACACTTACCAGATGCTGAGCTATGTAATGAACGTCAGCTGTTTTGCAGGTGTTCAGAGGCACATTCCCAGAATCTTCCACAGGAATCTGGCAAATAAAGTGACAGCAAAAATCCTAGTTACCTTCTTTCAACCCAGATCTTGTTCTTAGAGGCCTGAGGAAAGAGTTGGGGCCAAACTCCAAAATGAAAATATTCGCTCTTGACGCTGAATCTTCTAACAGGTGCTTGGGGTTAAGATAATTTAAGGAATTTCAAGAACTATAACTACTCAAATTTTTGAGGTCAAATTGGAGTCTACAAATCTACCCTTCACCCAAGCATGAGAGCCCACAGGACTTTAGCGATTCTTTATTTCACCAAAGATAAGCTATTTACCATAAGGCTTAACAAAATCCTCAAGACAATGTATATACAGAATTGAGCATTTGACACTATCTAGATTTGCTGCCATGAGGACCCAACTACCTTAATGGCCCTGTCCTAAATCAAACTACTAAAACCTGCAGAGAACTTGCACTGAAGCAAAACACTTGTTTTCTAGAACAGTCAAGCTTCTATTTAAGAAACTAGATGAAGTACTTTCGGTTTTGTTACCTACAAAATCCCACCAATTCAAGTGCCAAGGCCAAGTACATTTTTCAGATAGCTAAGGAACAGTTTCTTACTATGATTAAAAAAAAAAAATCACTCCCATCGGGCTCCCTGCTCAGCGGGAAGCCTGCTTCTTCCTCTCCCACTTCTCTGCTTGTGTTCCTTCTCTCGCTGAGTCTCTGTCAAATAAATAAAATCTTAAATTTATAAAAATAAAATTTTCATACAAGACCCAGAGAAAAATTTAACCCGAGAGTCTGTGCTCAAATTGTCAAAGTTTTGTTCTTTTAAAGAAACTGAGGACACAAGTTTGGTATACCAAGATTGACTGTAGAACTCTGTTCACAGGACCCCCTCCCCCCGCAAAAGGCTTGATTCCACACCAAAAGATTTGCAAATGAATACACTTTGAGGTTTCAAGCTAGAAAGGTTTTGTTTTGTTTTTTTAAGTAGGCTGATCAAATGTTGCATGCTCTACTGAATGAGCCAGCCAGTTGCTGGCCAAGTTAAAAAAAAAAAACAAAAAAAAAACTTAAGGTATCTATCACATTTCACAATTTCTCACTTTTTCAATTCATGACCAGTCAAGTTAGATCACGTTTCTCCTGTAAGTTACCTATTTCAAGATTTTTTTTTTTAAACTGAGTGCATTTAGACAATAATTTGACCAGTTCTTCTCGGCTCAGGATCCCTATTAACCTCACTTGGCATGTATACTGTTTTACGAAGCTTTTAGGGACTACAGAGATGGATGGGGCTTCTTTCTTCCGTACTAGTCGCCCTAGACTTTGTCTCTTTTTCTAAGTGTTCTGTCCAGTCCACTTCTAAGAGTTGTTAGAACTCAGTAGGCTTTCCCCCCAAGTCGTTTCTAATCTGCTAAGGGTTAAGAAAGAAGCTTGTTATAACTGTATTATCGTTAACAGGATACAAGAACTAGGTTTTCATGAAGTATTTAGACAGACTTAGTACTTGACATATTTGAAGAGTTCAGGTTTTTTAAGTTTTCTAAACTTACATTCCTCTTGTGTTCTAGACTCTTGGAGGCTGCTGGCAAGAGGTATTTAAGCCATCACAATTCACTGTGAATTAAAGGAACTTTGAAGGAATGATTTTGATGGCTACAGTTTTGTGACTTCAAAAAAGTTATTTCAGAATAGAAACACCTTAGGAAAAAAAACTGTTAGCTCTAGCTTTCAAAGAATTCTCAAATAGCAGTAAAGCCAGGCACTTAGTAAAAGAATCAATTAAGAGTTCCCAGGCTGTTCTTTATAGATTCCTTCCCCATTCTAAAACAGAATTTTTAGGTGGAAAGGGTTCAGCTTCCAGCATAAGAAAAGCTGTATGCAGACACCTTACAGGCTACCACCATTCCTCTCAGATGAATTACATCTCAATAAAACGGAATTTAAAAGTCCTGAAAACTCTAAGGAAGATATTCATCTTTAGCGACTCAGCTATTTAGAGTAATTCTAAGATTTCCAAGTTTTATTACCTACATTTTCTAGAACCACACATGCATGGGAAGGAGGAGAAAGACCATTCATTCCCTTGAAAGTAGGACAAGTTGGTAAAAAAAAAAAAAAACACCCAAAACTTTTGAAAAAGACATTTCCTCGAGGAAAAAAATGCTTTTGTCTGCTGTAGACACAGCTTAAGTTTTGGATCTGCTCAAACTTAAATATGCTGGGTTATTTACTAAAGGCAAAATACCTTTGAAAGAAAAACATCATCATTACATTCAGCAGGTTACCAAGCTCTTTATGGTATCAGGGCTGTTAGCCTGAAGAGGAGTGGTTGAAACGCCAAGATCAGGAACTGACTTCCTGGGAGAACTCCCCGGTTCCAGTATTCGAATTTTACTTCTCCGCCACACAGGCATATGCAGAGTGCTTTTGTAGTCAAGTCACAGTGTTAAAGATGGAACTCAAGAGCATTCCGTTCAATTGTTTGTCTTCCCTGGGCAGCACCTGGCACCCCACAGGTCTAACATCCCATTCTGAGTAAGCGGTGACGCTGAAATTCTACGATCACAATACGGACGGGCCAATTCTGAGCAGGTCTGCCCAGAGCAGTGTTTTCCGAAGCGGAGGTGGCTGGGACCGAACGTTAATGTGTTATTAACCATGGAAGTACCATCCTTTTCCCTTCCAATCCGTTTAAATTAAGGAGACAGTCGCAGTGTTGCAGAAAGGCCTCAAGAAACTTTGGGCTCTTCTGCAGGCACCAGTAACACTTTTTTAAATCAAGGTATCTTGCGGCTCTATTTTATTTCCCACAAAATAAAGTTTTAAAGACCATCTTTATGTAAAAGCGGGTTCAAATAAAAACATCAAGTAAACAATGGTAGAGGTATTAAAAGCGAGACAAAAACCAGGAAGGAGAAAGGCAAATGACTGAAATTTGGCAAACTGCATGAACCTATATTGCCAAGGAGGATGGAAATAAAGAAATTCTCCCACCTCGCATCAAGTCTATACTGAGTCCCGCGAATGACTGGCTCCGCGTACAAGGCAACCTGGCCCAGAACGGTTCAGCGTCCGGCACAAGGTAGGCGCCCGACGGCGCGCCAGCATCACTGCTTGCCGCTACCGCCCACCTGCCGCGCCCAGAAGCCGGAGTAAAAACCCCAGCGCGGGGAGCCCTCGAACCCACGCCCCCGGCCGCCCTCGGCTCGCCGCGACGCCTGCCGCTCGCGCCCGACAGATTCTATGAGGCCCACACGGGGACCTTCCCCAGCGTTTTTACCCGAGACCCCGCTTCCCTCAGATTCCACCTCCAGTCCCACCGGGCCTCAGAATTCACGGGACCCGAGGGGCCTAGGCCGGAAGGAGCAGGGTCTCCCCGGCCAGGGTCCCGCAGCCGCCGGACACGAACCTGAAACTTCCAGAGCCGGCAAAAGCCGAACTCGCCCCCAAAACTCCCACAACCCACAGGTTCGCGCTCCGTCTTCCGCCGCCCGCGCCTGCGCGCAATTTAAACCCTCCCGGCCGGGGCGCGCACCCCCGTGGCCCAGCCCCTTCCCTTTCCGGGACGCCCAGCGCTGGGTCCTAAAGACCGCCGGATCCTGAGGGGCTGCTGAGCGCTCCGGCAGGAATGGGTGGTCCTAGCAACCTCCAGCTCTCGGCTCACCCCCTGACCGCTTCTCCTAAAAGGGGGAGAGGGAAAATTAAGTGTTCTCTCTCTCCTCCCTTAGTTAATGGGCGAAACTCATCCCCTTTGCAGGGAGTGTCATAGACAGGTTCAGTTTCCCCGGAGCTCGAGGCAGGGGGTATTTACTTAAAGGCAGAGTGAGGATTAGCTTAGGTTCGAGGCCGCTCTGGTTTGAGACCTGTATCCCGGAGGAGCGGGCTCGCTGGGGGCGCAAAGTTGTAGAACCTGCTGTAAAATAAAAGGGTAAATGAGCTCCCGTCACACTCAAACGCGAATGCCTGTTTCTTCTTTGAAACGTGTGTGTTTTTAACCTTACTGGTTTGCTAGAAGAGAATGGGGTCTAAAACTTTTTTGCAAAACGCACCCCCCCCATATTCCTTGGCTTTAATAATGTTTATAACATTTACTCTCAGTTTCTTTCAAACTAGGCACTTCTCCTAGAGGGCTTAGTGGAACAGCTTGGTGTAAACTGATGTGATTTTTTTTGGAGTAGTGTTGTTGGGGTCTGGAACTGACGGCCCAGGAAGAATTCTTAGACGCCTTCGGTGCAAAAAGGTGGTTTTACTAAAGCACGAGGATAGGACCCAGGGGCAGAAGAACTGCTGTGGGGGGGGGGGGATTGTGAGGAGCAACTGATTATATACGTTGGAGTTGGGGGAGGTAAAGACCAGGAAAGTTTCCAAAAGGACTTTGATTTGCCAAAAAGTACGAGATAAAGGAGGCCTTGCTATTGTCAAGCTAAGGTTGTTTTTCCCTCTAGCAAGGCATTAACATTAAGACAGTTGGGAGCTTCCTGGAAGAACGTTATACGCTGCCGCATCAAGTAATTGTCAATGGGCTGCAGGTTATAAGAACATTTAATTTTATTTACATTTCCTTTTGGCTTTGTTTCCCACATCATAAAAGTCCTAAGGACTTGGTTCGTTTACTGAACATCTTCCTGCAGGGATATCGGAAGGACAAAACAGACCGTAGTAACTGCACTGGAGGGATCGACCCCAATAACGTGACTTGCTGATATGCACATGAATCCTGGACTTGGCTCTTTGGTTCTTTTAATGCTTTGTTCACATTTTTTGTGTTTCCTATGCTTAGCACAGTGTCATAGATAAAAATTACCACAGTAACTTATTGCAAGGTGTGGGGGCAGAAACATGGGAGGAACCTTGCTAGAGACCTTGAAGCAGGACTTAGGTGAGCGAGATCCCAGTGGTGCGCAAGGAGTTAAGGGGCCGAGCATGGCGGTAGCAAGACTGGGGGCGGGCCCAGGAGCCTCTCCGCCATAGGCTGTTCCAAGGAAACGGGCCTAAAGCTTCTGGCCAATAGAGCTGCGGGATCAACGCCAGTGGCTAGCAGGCCGTCCAATGGGAGAAGACGTTGGAGTTGCCCGGCCAAGTTCAGCTTCCTTAGCTGCGGTGAGCGTAGCCAGAGAATTGCAGCAACCGGGTTCTGGCCGTGGAGGTCTCGGGTTTTCCAGTCCCTTTCGGTTGTGGTGGTCGAGATGTTTTTCTCCGAGGCCGGAGCCCGGCCACGGACGTGGGAAGCCAGCCCCTCAGAACACAGGAAGTGGGTGGAAGTAGGTGTCCGGAGGGCTGATTCTCCGACTCTTGACCAAGGGCTCCCATTTCGTTCACCCGCCTGGGTCTCACTAATCTCTGTTGCACTGACAGGGACTGCACTGTCCTTCCAAAGGCCCATGGTTAATGACTGAGCCGAGGGCTGCAAGGCTTCTCGCTCTCTGTCCAGTGTTCTGGCTACTTCCAAGCTCCTTTTCCCCGCTCCAGTTTATTAATAAGAACCTCTAACCTTATATCTGTCTCACCTTCCTAATTCTAGGACTGAATTTTGGATAGAATTTATCCCAGTGGTTTAAAGGAATTAATTTGCGTCAGTCTAGCGATTAAGTCGTTTGCACATTTCGGGGGGTAAATTTTAGCACATTAATAATTCTTGAGAAGGAAAATTAAGATAATGCAACTCCCATCTCCGAACCCTCCTGCTCAGCTAAGTTTTAGATTTTAGAGGTCTAAAGTTAATATAAACTAGTAATAAAAGTAATAGAACAAACCGTTTCGGTCTAACTGAAGCTATTTAATGTTCTTTAGGTATTTAAAGCATGCGATGAAGATAACAAAGGCTATCTAAGCAGAGAGGACTTTAAAGTTGCTGTTGTAATGCTGTTTGGGTACAAGCCCTCCAAGGTAGAGCTTTCTTCATCTATTTGGGAATGGGGCAGACAATACAAGGGTGGGTGGGTTCTAAGTCAAGTGCAGTGGCTTGTTTCCGATGTTTAAAATGACTGCCTCTCAGAGCAATTTCAGAGATGTGTCCAGTGCTGAATTTTACTCTTCTTAAGAACCTAACTCAGGGATGAATTAAAATTCATGAAGCTTTTCTCACCACCAGGCTTATAATAAATGCAAGATGCTAGGGAGATGTCAAGAAGGAAGGCTGGGGGGGGGGGGTATTGGTAACAGGAATTCATTTAAATTATAAAACTAATACGGTTCCATAGACAAAAAATTCAGACAGTCTAGAAAAAGTATAAAGTTGAATGTAAAATCCCCTCCTTTGCTACCAAGCAGTCCCACTCCTCATGGGTTACCATAATTAACAATTTTTTGTGTGTCATTCCAAAATTTCCTATGTATAACAAACATGCCTAGCATTCTATTAAAAGCATAAATGGGATGAAGTGGCTGGGTGATGGACATTGGCGAGGATATGTATTATGGTGAGCGCTGTGAATTGTGTAAGACTGATGAATCACAGACCTGTACCCCTGAAACAAATAGTATGTTAATAAAATATTTAAAAAAATTAAAAATAAAGGGTTAAATAAAAACATAAGTAGGTACATAGTATACCTATTTTATTTTGCTTTTTTCACTTAACAATGAACATAAAAGCACACACCACCACGTTTTAAAAAGTAGTTGTGTAATATTATCTTTAGCCAGTTTCCTGTCTTTCGTCATTTAGATTGCCTCCATTATTTTTCATTACTACAAACATTGTTGTGTTGAGCATCATTTTATATGCATATCTATACTTGTGGATGTATATCTATGGAATAAATTCCTGGGAGTACAGTTGCTAGGTACATTTGAAATTTTGTTGGATATTCTTCAGGAAAGTTTGCACTAATTCACTAATAAGGAGAGTTGAGCTGAGTTTCAAGGAGCGTCCTGCTTTAGGAGGACAGATTTCCTGCTCCCCTTGTTACGTTGATTCTAGAGATGGATCCCTCTTGTTAAGGTGCTGAACTGGAATTAACCAGACAAGATCTTGTCCAGCTTTAAGAAATTCAGTTGCAGCCATCAAACGGAGGGCTCTGCCTGGAACGTCCTCCCCCCACCCCATGCCCTCCTTAAACTAGTTTGGCCCGGCTGTTCCTCAAGAGTGAGTTCTGCCTATCAGATTGCAAGCCCAGCAGAGCCAGGAATCACGTGATGTATCGCGTCTCCATCCCTCGTTATGCTTAAACGTATCACAACCTCATGGTAACTAAGTTCTGTTGACACAAATCTGTCCCATAAACGGACCAGGTGGGCTCAAAGTGGTTCACCTCCCAGCAAATGCTTGGTTACTGAGATGCTGATTGTGGAGCTCAGAGAAATAGGGCTGACTCCCAGAAATTGCAGCTCTTCTCTTCACCTGCAGTCATTTCAGCTAGAATTCCAAAGCAAGTCAGCTAAATGGATCCAGCCTTTGAAGCATTGTATTTAAGCTGTGTTCAGCTGGAAAGATAGTTGGTTTCATTCTGCTTTTATCATCCCTGAATCTCCTTAATTGGCTTTAATTTTAGAATATAAGTGAGGAAATGAATGACAAGTACAGTGATGTGGTAAGACAGATATGTACAGTCCGTGAAATTTAACAGATTTTTACTTTTATTCTCATACCTTGCCGAGGTAGCGGATTTCATTTTTTAATCAAATATCTGACTGCAGATCACTAAACAGTAAAGTGATAGCAAATCATCTGTACACCTGTCAATCATTTGTTACGAACTTGTGTTAAATAAGTGACAATGCATACCCTCTGTGAAATGTAACAGATTTTTACTTTTATACTAGCTTGAGGTTTGGGGTGTTGTTTAATTAATTTTAAAAGATTTTATTTTTAAGTAATCTCCTACATTCAACGTGAGGCTTGAACTCACAACCCCAAGATCAAGAGCTGCATTCTCCACCAACTGAGCCAGCCAGGAGCCCCTGGGGTTTTATTTTTGAATATTGCTTTTGAGCAAATGAAATATTTACTGAAATGCACGACATGTAATAAATCATTTATCCACTCATGCAACTGTTTACACAATGAAATTTATGAAGTGAAGGGGCGCCTGGGTGGCTCAGTCGGTTAAGCATCTGCCTTCGGCTCAGATCATGATCCCAGGGTCCTGGGATCGAGCCCCGCATTGGGATCCCTGCTCAGCAGGGAGCCTGCTTCTCCCTCTCTCTCTGCTGCTCCCCCTGCTTGTGCTCTCTCTCTCTCTCTCTGTCAAATAAATAAATTAAATCTTTAAAAAAAAGTGTTCCTATTTAAAAAAATGAACACTTGCTAGTTGCTAGTGATATAAAAATGAATAAAATATAGCCCCTACTGTGAAGCAGATCACAAGTTAGTGTAGAGAGACTTATGAAACTCTGATAAATGCTAACATGAGAAGAACAGAAAGAACCCAAAGTGAAGGGGACAAGGAAGAGGGTCTTCTAATTCTTGTGAAAAGTAGCAGTTTAGGCATCACTTAGATTAGAAGAGCTAGCTAGCCTCCTCTAGTATGAAGTATCCAGAAGAACTTTGTCGTGTTGGGAGATGTTATGCCCTGATGATTAGATGTGGTTGGCTGTAAGAGCGGGGTGTGAAACCAGGCCTGAAGCAATAGTAAATGCCACCAAGTAGGAAAACTGAGGAGTAGGCCTGGGAGAAAGTCAACGAGTTCAGTTTGGGGCACATTAAGTTTGAGGAGGCTGTGGACTCCCAAGTGAATTCACTCATTAAATACCATGCTAGTGTTAAGGTTTTGGTGGTAAAGATCTGCCCTCAGATTTTGCCGCCCCTTGTAAATGCAGGGATCTGGAACCAGATGAGGAATTGGGAGGGAAGGGCTGGAGACAGATTCAGGACTCCTCAGTTTACAGGTTTGATAGCTCAGAGCATGAGACTGGGTGGTGTTGCCTGAGAACAGTATGCAGACGGCGAGAGATACACCACTGGTGGGTACCAATATTTAAGGGTAAGCAGGGGCTCCATGAAGATGCAACAGGAACCACCTGGCAAGGGCAAGAGGAAAGTACAGAAAGTACAGAATCCAAGTGTTGCCAAGATTCCAATTCCATCATGTTTATAAGGCCCTTGTAACCATACAGGAAAATGCTTATATTTTAATGTATGGTGAAAGCAGTTTCCTGAACCATATACAGGGTGTGTTCTGAAATATGTTTAAAAAGCCATAGGGGGAAAAATGGAGACTAGGCCAAAATGTTAATAGCGGTTCTCATTGGATGGCTGTTCTTAAAAGCGTTCTTCATGATTTTTTAATATTTTTCATGATTTCTATGTCATGTTACTTTTATAATCAGGAAAAAAAGTTCAAAAATAAAGCCATCGAGCTCATTGCAATAATCACTTGTATTTGTCTAAAATAGAAAGGTTACCTTTTAGGTTATGCTGCATGTGTGACAGCCAAGTTGATTATATATGCTTAAACTGTTTTGGTCAATGGAACAGTTTTGGGGCCATTAGAGTCTGTAGCGGATTAGCATATTGTATTTTATAGATATAGGGATATTTTTTGCTTTAATACCACTTTATTTTTTATTTTATTTATTTATTTATTTATTTTTTAAAGATTTTATTTATTTATTTGAGACAGAGACAATGAGAGATAGAGAGCATGAGAGGGAGGAGGGTCAGAGGGAGAAGCAGACTCCCTGCCGAGCAGGGAGCCCGATGCGGGACTCGATCCCGGGACTCCAGGATCATGACCTGAGCCGAAGGCAGTCGCTTAACCAACTGAGCCACCCAGGCGCCCTTTATTTTATTTTTTTAAGTTTTTATTTAAATCCCAGTTAACACAGTGTAATATTAGTTTCAGGAGTATGATACAGTGATTCAACAGCTACAACACCCGGTGCTCATCACAACCCTCCTTAATCCCCATCACCTATTTCACCCATCCCCCCACCCTAGATATAGATGCAAGAATAAAATGACTCTTAGAGCTGTCCTGTGGTATTACTTGTCGGCTGAACTCAAGACATTTGGTTTCTCATAAAATACAATCCTTCCCCACACCTCCGGAATTAAGAACTTGCACTGTGAAAACATTTGATGAAATTATATCTGCTATTCTTTCTTCTCTTCTAGATAGAAGCTGATTCCATTATGTCTTCAGTAAATCCAAACACTTCCGGTAATATGAAACTTAATTTTTAGACATTCATAAAGCGAAAATTAAGAACAAAAATAGAGATTATAAAGCACATCTTTGTTTTGTTCTGTTTCAAAGAAAGAGGTTTTGGTTCTTTAATGTCTTCACAAGTATGTATGTTTATTGTAGGGAAGTTTTAAACCGTTGAAAAGCATAATGAAAAAACGTTGCTTGTAATGTCAACATCCAACTGATGGTGGGGATTTTCTGATTTAGATGAATGGAAGTAGCATTCGTTGAAATGGAAAGACTAGGGGGAAGAGGTATGGGGTTGGGGGAGACCCAGAGTTCACTTTTGCATATGTTAAGTTTGAGACCTTTCAGTCAGCGATGTCAGGGCACTCAGGCTGTGTGAAGACGGAATTCAGAGGAAAGCTGTGGGCTGGAGAAGTAAATTGGGCGTCATCGGCACGTAGATGGTTTTTGAAGCCACGGGGATGGATGAGACTGCCAAGCAAGACAGAGTGGACTGAAAATCTTAGGAACTTCAATCATGAGAAGTCCGGGAGAGAGTTAGGAAATGGCAGAAGATTTAGAGGGGGCAGAAGGGCAGGAGGAAAATGACAGGTGTCTGATCAAAAGTGAGGAGAAGCAGATTCTTTCAAGGAAAAGGACGTCAACACTGTGGAAAGGTCAGGGAGGTAGTAACTGAGTATTTATCTGTTGGAGTTGGCGACCTGGGTGTGTTTACTGACTTTAGCAAGAGCAGTGAAGACGGAGGCCAGGCTGTAGTGGTAGATAAGTCTTTTAGAGTGGCTGGGGGTCTAGAGCAGTTTTGTTTTGTTTTGTTTTGTTTTTTTGCACTTAAAGATGTGTCTGAGCTTAGCAGATTGCTCTAGTGAAGAGGGAAAAGGAAGATGAGAGAGACAGGGGAATACCTGTTGTTTTTGGAGATAGGGTCCAGAACATGCTGGACTGGCTTTTTAAAAATTACCTTTTAAAAAAAAAATAATTTAGAGCTTACAGAAAGTTGCAAAATAAAAACAGTACCGAGAAGAGCTGTATACTCTGAACCCAGATGCACTTACTGTTAACTTCTTACCGCTTCGGCCCCCTCCTACCACTATCCCCTCCTCTCGCTGCACTGAACCTAAAACCACAGCACACTAGCAACTTCATAAACGAATATTGATCCTATATTTTTATCTAATTTACTGCTTATATTCCAGTGTCATCACTTGATCTGATAATGTCCTTAATAACACCATTCCTCATTTAATACAGGAATTAGTCTTTGATGCCATGTCTCTTTAGCCTCCTTTAAACTTGCCTTTTTATAACATTGATATTTTTGAGGAAATAGCCCAGCCCTCACTATTTGTTTTTTAAGAATGGTCCTTGTTTTGTGTTTGCCTGATGTTTCTCTGTAATTAGGTTGAAGTTAAGCATTCTGAGCAAGAATACTGTTTAGGTGATATGTCCCTCTCTAGGTGCCATGTCTGGAGGAACATAATATCCAGCTCTCCCTCACAGATGATATTAATTTTTATCACTGATCAAGATGTCGTCCAGTTTCTCCATTGTATTGTTTATCTTTTCTTCCTTTAGCAACTAACAAGCAGTCTGTGGAGATATACTGAAGACATTGCAAATATTTTGCTTCTCATCAAAATTTCCCCCTAGATTTGGTAACCATGATTCTTGTCTGACCCAGTTTTTGCCATAATGGTTGGAAAGTAATGATTTTCTAATCCCAGTGCTTCTTCCTTTTTTTTTTTTTTTTAAGATTTATTTATGTATTTATTTGAGAGAGAGAGAGCATGAGTGGGAGGGGCAGAGGAAGAGAGAATCTCACGCAGACTCTCCGCTGAGCATGGAGCCTGACTTGGGGCTCTGTCCCAGGACCCTGAAATCATGACCCCAGCCACAATCAAGAGTCGGACGCCAGCTGCGCTACCCAGCCCACCCCGCCCAGTACTTCTTCCAGTTAGCTCTTGGCTATGGGCAAGAGACCTCCCTTCTTGATCAATCTATTTATTATCGGCATGGACACATGAATTTATGTTTTTAATAATTTATATTCTATTAATTCAGTTATTTTAGTCTTCACTTTGTCACAGACTTGACCATTGAGTGCTTCCTCAAGCTGGCTCCTGTGTCTTTCTGACTGGTGTGGCTTTTTCTTTTCTTTTTTTTTCTTTTTAATCTTTTATTTTTATGGTTTTATTTATTTAAGTAATCTCTACACCCCACGTGAGGCTTGAACTCATGACTTTGAGATTGAGTTGCATGCTTTTCTGAATGAGCCAGCCAGGTGCCCCTAAAAATCTTTTTATTTATAAATGTTAGATTTACGAAGGAGTTTACTGATTGCTTTTTTTGTATACAAGATCTGGAATCACATATGAACCATAACTCCTAGAGCAAATTATTGGCAGGAGAATGTGTTTTTTGTTTTTTTTTTAAGATTTTATTTGTTTATTTGAATGAGAGAGCAAGTGAGAGAGAGAGCACAAGCAGGGGGAGGAGCAGAGGGAGAAGCAGACTCCCAGCTGAGCAGGGACCCCGGGATCATGACCCGAGCTGAAGGCAGACGCTTCACTGACTGAGCCATCCAGGTGCCCCAGGAGAATGTGTTTTTAACAAACCCTCTAACTTGATGGAATTTCCCCAGGTCTTTATTTTCTTACAAAAATTTTCGTGCTTTCAGGATATTCAAATATTATTTCTGTAATGTTCGGTTAGTTGTAACTGCTTGATGATGCCTTACCTACATTTTTTTCTGTGGGTTTCTATGTGAATTTTCTAATCTAAAAGGTTTCTGTCTTCTGGCAGAAGGATTTCCCACATTTTTTGCATTGATAGGGCTTCTCTCCATAACAGTCCCCTGACAGTAAGTGATTCTGTCTGGGTGAAGGTCTTCTCCACACATGACTCACCCAGTGCTGCTTCATTTTGCGACTTTTCTGAGATAGCAAGTGTGACTGCTGCTGGAGGCACTCTCCGATCATTCATTATTTTCATAGATCTTCTCCCTAATGTGTGTTCTCTGATTCTGAATTGAGGGTTTGCCTCCACGCAGAAGGTTTTCTTTCCTCAGCCCGTTCTTTGATATCCAGAGAGGTGTTCTGGAAGAAAGGTTTCCCATGTTCTTTACAGGTATAGTGAATTCTCTGATGTAGAGCCGAGATGGACTCTGACAGAACTTTTTCCTACATTCAATATCATAAGATCCCCCCACCATGTATTATCTCGTGTTTAATGAGACTTCATAAAAAGGTTTCCCTGCCTGTGTTACATTCATGTGATTTCTCTCCTGTATGGGTAATTTGAAGGGTAAATTCTGGCAGAAGGTTTTCTACCTTCATTACCTTCTAAAGGTTTCTGTTGTGTGTGTGTGCTCAGATATAAAGTGAGAACTGATCTGTGGCAAAAGGCTGCTCCAAGTATGCCATTGTTAGTTTCCTCCCATAAATAGATGCATATATATGTATATGTATATGTGTACATATATATATGTGTGTGTGTGTGTGTGTGTGTGTGTGTGTATTTTTTTTTCCTGGTGTTTGAGAGACTCAGTTTGACTATGACCTGTGGCTAAAGATATGTTCGTGAAAGTTAGAAAATTTTCTTTATGAATTCTCTAATTCTTGAGTTTTGACTTCACGCAGAAATATTTCTCACATTTGTTGGAGTCATAGCGCTTCCTTTTGATACCAGTGCTCGTGTCCCCTGGAGCTTTATGTTTTGGATAAAAGTTTCTCTACATTCACTGCGTTTACATGGTCTCTCCCAGCCTGAGTTCTCTCGTATATAACGAAGACTGCCTTATTATCGAACATTTTCTCAAACTCTTATGGCATAAGAATTGCTTCAAAACTGGAATTTTTTGATAGTGAAGATAGTCTTCCTTATGAGGCTTTTCTGACTTTGATGATATGCTCCTGGACCAGCTCCCAGATGCATTTTCCTGCATTTAATATTGAGGATATTACATCTACTCTCACATCCACTTCTCAATGAGATCATAAAGATGCTTCTTTTCACAGGATCTTCTCCTAATAATTAATTTTGAGATATATTTCAAAAGTTTGCAGAATAACTCAGTCCTCCGAGAAATTCAGGGGAGGAAAGGGGAGGGATGAGACCACGGTGGAGGTGCTTAGCGCCTTGCTCTGAAATTTGTGTCAAAGGACCCTCCTCAGTCTACAGGTTCCTGGTCTTTTCCCTTCCTCTTCTTTTTTATTTTTTTTTTCCTTTCTTTCTTTCTTCTTCTTTTTTTCCTCTCTGTCCTCTCCTGGTCTTGATCTCAATGGCAAATTAACCTTCTCAGGGAATCACTACCATCAAGATTAAAGGACTAGACTTAAAGTCAGGGATACCTTCCCACCTAGCTTTAATTTGTATTCCTTGGAGAGGGAGACTCAAGACTGCAAACACTCAAAAGAAAGAGTAAAAAAGTTATCCTTGCAAGAAATCACTGCCAAACTTTGATTGCTGCTAACCTAATTTTTTTCTGTTACAACTCTTCACTCCTGAACCAATTTCAGATCATCAACTCCTTCTTTTCACCCTTTCCATACATGAGTCACCTTTTACATGTTATTTTTCATGCAGGAAGAGGGTTTATGCACAGCTTAAATGTTTTGTCAAATATATGATCTCTCTCCTTAATGTTTTGATCTTGAAGAAGAACTGATATGTTGGCCTTGGCTTTCTGGAAGCTATTTATTCAGGTAATCCCATTTTCCAAAGTTGCTCTTGGTAGCCATGACCTGGGAGTTCTCCAGCTAGCTGTGGCTCTTTCTACATCCAGACGAGGCCATGCCAGGTCTCTAGCATGCCACCCTAAAGGATTCTCTGTGCAGGCCCAGTTGCTGCCCAGCTTCCTGGGCGAGATCCAGACTCACATCTGGATTGATTCTGAATTGGCAGAGTCTTAACCAGGCACACACTTCACACAGTACCTAAACCTGGGTGCCCAGGTCCTACTTCCCAGGAGCTTCTGGTCTCTCTAAAAGGCGGTCGTTTCTGTAGGTTCT